TATTGTTGTGCAGAAACTATATGTTATTATTTTTTATTTCATTAAGAATTGAATAAGCAATTAAAGTTATAAGAAATATTAATAAATGTATTAATTACAAACATTATAATACATATCATGTTACATTACAATATAAAAAATGAAATTATTTTTTTGGTAATTTAATTTCCAGTCATACTCAATCAAATTTATAACTACAAAATGATAAGAAAGATTAGTTTCATAATTAAAATTAAAAATTTAGCTCCCCAAATGGTAAAACCTTATAAATTAGTAGTATAGATACATTTAAATGACATATAATTTATAAACTTAGACTATCCGCATAATAAGATGAATTATGAATTAAATAAATAAATTATTATTATAACACAGTCTATATAATTATTATAGCAAAGTCTATATTGTCAATATTATCATTTAAAAAGTTCATTGAAAAAACATATGTATAAAACAAAATCCATATGATCATAATTAATAGTGCAAAATTAACATTCTTTGACTTTCTATTTGGTAGTAATAATAAAATATTTTATATTACTACTATTCAATAAAATGCATGATTTCTGCATATTTGATTATCGCAATCAACGTTCTTTTTTTATAAATTAAAAAGTGTCTTGAATCAATTGTCTCATATTTTTCATTAAAACAAAATAACTGTTGGCCGTGAAAAAAAAATATTATTTCACAATTATAAATATAAAAATGATTAATTTTCATTAAACAATTCCTCTTTAAGAAAAAAGTGGCGGGACAAATTTCTGCATGATTATAGCATCAAAACATATCTAAAACATCAATATTTTAATGCATTAAAAACATACTTTCAGCAACAGAAAAGTCATATTAAACGAAAATTGGCAAAGTCAAAGAATGAGAATTGACAAGGCATTGTATGTAATGGCAGATTGTTGCATAATATAGAAATATCAACCATAATTAATAATCAACAAAAAAAAGTCAAATCTATATGCAAAAATCAAAATTAAAAACACAGCAAATTATGTGGAACATTATTGAAATACAATATAGAAAGAAAAATAATTTGATTTCTCTATCATTATCAACATATTCAACTTTTACCAAGACATCTGCCTTTATATTAAAATCATTTTTTTTGCGTAAAAGTTTTAAAAATAAAAATTCCTACAGATTCTTTTAAACATTAAACAAGAAATTCTTAATATGCGATAAATATATCTAAACAGATTTGTTATAAACTTACCTAATATTTCCAAATTTTGAACAAAATACTAAAAAATTTGAAAAACTTCGGCAAAAGACTTTGAATAACTTCGAAAAGAGATTTTGAACAAGTGCTAGCAAAGCTTCACTTACTGATATGATGAGAAAGACGACAAAGAATTGAACTATTTAGTTTTCAAAATCTGAACAAAATACATAAAAGTTACATATGTATGTTATAAAAAGATATGAACAGATATATTATAAACTTACATATATATTTGTTAGTAGAGTTGAACATATCTGTTAGAAACTTACATATTTTTTCAAACCCTGAACAAAAAACATAAAAGTTTGAAAAAGTTCGACCAATGTCATGTTCTCTTCGAAAAACGATTTTGAAAAACATCTAAATAATTTTGAATTATGCATAAAATATAATATATCTTGAAGCTTATTCACAAAGAATTTTGGAAAACGACACAGATCATTGAAAATAATAAAAAATAAAAACTACGTTTAACAAAAAATATTTCAGCTCATCATAGATTTGTAATATTATCGCCCGATTTTGACCGACCTGTTAAGATTTAGCAACACAGATTAAGAAATCGGGACGAATATTTTATTTTTCGATCATTACTGTTGGTCACAAAAACAACATTTCTCGGATGTCTTTTTTTTTTTTAAGCCTTTACCGGGAGAAAATCTCCGGTAAAACAGTTGTTTTGTATTGAATCTCGCCGAGTTTGTCGTAATATCGGGCTAAGGATTAGGGTTTCAGACAAAGTGAATAACGAGAGAAGCGCCGACATCAAACAAAAAAAAACGGCTTACATCACTCTCAAGGAGTTTATCTCTATTTATAGTCATGTTATCACTGACCTGTTTTATATGTGATTTTGGCTACCCTAAAAAATTAAGTGGACTTCTAATTTGGGCTTTTTTTTATCATTCAATCAATATATTTCTTTATGGCCCAAAAATTGTCATTTGTTCAAATGTCTTAAATATTTGGCACATATCATTATTTATCAGCCAAATACAATTATTTATTTTGTAATATTTTGCTGGTATTTTTTTAGTATTTTTTTTTAAATTTCCTATATGATCTATAGTACAAAATACAATAATTATTTAAACAATTAAAATCATTATATGTCTTAATTTGAAGATATGATTTGTACTGATGAAAATTCTGTTGATAGAAAAACCACAAACGTTGTATATAAAAAATTGTGTAACAATATTTAGTTATTATTTCTTAAAACATTTTTTCAATGATTATATTATGATTTTTACTATTGTTTATATATTTTTATTATTTTTTGTTCTATTATATTGTTTTCCGTGCAAATGCACGGGTTAAAAACTAGTTTGTAATAATAATATAATATATCTAATTTTTATTTTTTATAAATTGGGCTTTAGTTTGAATTTTGAAAAGGTTTGCATTTGAAACTTTACAATTTGCATACGGGGAAGAAAATTTTTTGCCCAAACGCATATTATTGCTGAGCAAGTGATTCAGGCCAGGTGCTTTTCCATTGCATTTGCAATTTTGCATTCGTATATTAAAAATAAAAATGACCCAAACATTGAAAATTAAGTGGGCTTTTGCTTGGCCCACCACGCCACAAGCAAAAGAAGGATAGGAAAAAGGGAAAAAGAAAGTCCCACATCGAAAACACATATAAAAATGAAGTGCATATAATGAAGAAGTCAGAAACATGCAATTGTATAGCAGCCGTTCGGCCGCTGGAATTGTGTCCAATTCTCCGGTTTAACTGGTTTTTGGACGGTTGCAACGATTTTTAACCGGTTTTGGCACCAAGCGGTTTAACACCTCAAACCGGACTGTTGTGATGGTCGGTTCCCGGTTGAACCGGTCGAACAGGCCGGTCCGGTCTGATTTTCAAAACATTGGTAAACACATAGAGCGCAAGTACCGCCAAATACGAGAAATCGTAGGAAGAGGAGATGTCGAGGTTGCCAAGATGCATCAGAGGACAACATAGCTGATCCTTTCGCGAAGAGTTTACCGGAGAAGATCTTCATCAAACACGTGGAAGGAATGAGAGTCAGATGCGTGCCAACAGGATCGAGATAAGTCTTTTCGAACACGGATTGATAGACACACACATGTAAAAGTGAGCCTTAAGTATAAGTTGGAGATTGTTGGTGTATATAATAAAAACTTGGGTTTGGATGTTATTTACACTATTTCTGTTGAATGGAAATCGTGTTTGATTAAACAATTTCTATGTTATGTTGTTTTGCATTTAGATAAAATAATTCATTATTGATGGACAAAAGATCATTTTATCAGTCACTTGCCAAACAAGAATGATAGGTTCACAACCTAGATGAAAATGAACAAACCATCGGAATTGTTGTAGTGTCAATAGTTCAGTTGAACTTGACTGATTAGTTGCACTAATACAATTATGTATTGAACATGATCCCAAAGAGGATCATTTCGTTTTATACTGATCGTCATAAACGAACTAGGCCTTGGTTAAATACTGCGTTCTCTTAACCCGTAAGATATAAAGAAGCATGTGCACATAGTAGCTACTACTTTGATTCACCAATAGTGTAATCCATTCTGTTGGATCAATAGTCTTCATGTTTTGGGTAGTAGTGTTGGGTGTATGGTGTGCTGTTAGAATATTTACGGTCACCATACGCATTAGTTTGATGAGGTCCCTGAAGTGAGCTCATTAAGTATTGTTATGTTAAACTCTGCATGTGGATTAAGCTCCGACATAGTAATAATAATTTGAGCGCTACTCGCTTCGGTTCAAGATGTCGATTAATTCTTGATTGTCAATAGTTGAAATAAATTGATGGACATTATATTTTAAATATGGGGAGGTAATTCGAGTAATTATAATTCTAGTCTCGAATAGAATTTAATGATGATGAGGGAACGCAATAATGTTTTGTTGGTGAACCGAAACATTATTTAAGTTATTGAGGAGAGAGGGGTTGGTCTACAGTTTGACCTAATACTTAATAAGCCCACATCATCACTCCCTTAAGGTCCCTTCTGTAGTATTATAAAAACACCATGTATTTCTTAGGATTGAAGACATAACTGACTTATAAACACACGCACGAGTCGGTTGTCTAATTCTTGAGAGATCATCTGCGAGATTTGTTACTCCACCGAGACAATCAAAGAGGTGTCGTGTCATATAGCAGAAGCCCCCGAGTTTGACGAGACCCCGACGACCGTCCGCGAGCTAACGCACGCGACGAGGACTTCCCGACAAGCACCGCACACGACCAGGCCCCGCATGCCCAAAATTGAGATGCAGTCCCGGCGACCCCGTGCGCGCGACCCGATCGCTGCTAGTCCCACACACCGCGCTTGAGCGCCCGCACGCACACGTTGCAGACCCGCGAGGATATCGCGAGACCCGCAGACGACCTGCGCATGTTGTTAACGCGCAATTACCCCGCTCATCCGCACACTACACTAGCGAGAACCGCGATGCACACTTGCACGACCCGTCCAACCGCGCGATGCACTTGGCGACTCCGAGACATCCGAACAAAGCGATTTTCGATGAGTGGAAAATCAAACAATCTCCATCAACAGAAATCTACAGTGTCTCAGAGTCTACACGTTTTAAGCCATAAATGTTCAACTTTAAACCTATAGTATCCGTTGCGCATAGGTTATTGTTGTTGTTTATTTCGTAACTTGTACATAACGAGATCTTCACTGGTCCCTACATAGCATCCGCAACGCAACCCGCGCACATCTCGTGCAACTTCGACGATGCCCTGGGGAGTTTTGCGTGATGTTTCGGCAACTTGGGGAGTTCAGCGCGATGTCTCGGCCACCAACGCTTCAGCAGTGCAAGCCTCAACAACTAGCGCTCCAGTGGACCCCAGACGAGTCGTCCACGCATCAAGAGAGATGTGGCGAGTCCAAACCACCTTCACCAATCCAGGTGCGGTCTGGCAAGCACAAGGTGATGTGAGACGTGACTCGAACACTGAGAGCCATGACGTGGTGATCGCGATGAACGGGCAACTCGATGAGGCTCATATGATCTCCATCAATGGAAATCAGAAACGTCTCAAAGTCAACAAAAGTTTATACCGTAAGTCTTGATCTTAACTATAGATTCTGTTGTGTAACACCCTGCCTAAACTTACTAAAATCAGAGTAAATTTTTCGCGCTATAATTGCAAAACACAGATTTAATTTTCAAAAACTCTAATTAACTTTTTCGAAAATACTTTAATCTAACTGCAGGATGCTACTCAACTTTAAACTATCTCTCTAATCTTTAATCTATTATGCATGTATCCAAGTAAAATTCATTCTAGAATTAAGGCCATGAAACTTTACTGAAATTACACATGCAGTCTAAAATTCTTAAATAGTGGAATTACACACGCATCTTATTTAAAAAATTAATATTATGGTTAGAACTTAAAATCATATGAAAAAGATTAACTCACCAAATATGATTTGATCTTATTTAAAAAGGTATAGAAGCAATTAATGCATATATTTAAAAAAATTTCAAAATAAAGTATGCATTAGATATTTCTAAAATTTTTCTCTACTAATTTTAGCAGATGGTTATTCTTATTATATATATATATATATATATATATATATATAGGGGATGGATCCAATGAGACCACTCCTTAAAATGAGTACGTGAGACTCAATCTTAGCCACTCATTTTGTCTAGATCAAAAACAATTAAAATATACATTAATTAAATAATAAAATAGTTGACCGTTGACTCCGGCGTTGACCGTTGACTTCCGGCGTTGACTTCCGGCGAGAATCGTTGACTTCCGGCGTTGACCCGTTGTATTGAAATAAATAACCTAGTAACAAAAGACACTCAACCTTGAGTGGTGTAGTGGTTGCATTGCTTGTCTTGCCTCCATGAGGTACCAAGTTCAAATCCTATGGGTTACAATTTTTTTATAAAAAAAAAATACAACTAACTTAGCAACATCAGACAACTAACCNNC